TTAGAATTTTCTGAGACAATGAATTTTGGTTTTTCTTTTTTCTCCCCCAGTAAGAGGTTTTTTTTAAATAGAATTTTTGGACAAAAAAAATCACAATATATCGCCTTGCTTACAGTATCGCAATATATCAGGAAATATCGTATCGTGACCCCTCTGTCATGATATGTATCGTATCGCCAAATTCTTGCCAATACACAGCCCTAGTTCCTGCTGGCACAAGATTTATCCCATAGACAACACCTAAAACACGCAGGACACCAGCCCTCGAGGACTGACTTTGGACGCCACTGCTCTAGAGAGTAAAAATTGATCGTGGACAACTGTTCCCACTTTATTACCTCGAGTTTGACATTTGGCTGTCCCCATTTTGGTCTTTTTGAAAAAAATACATGTACCAGATTTTGTAACTGTAACCCCATAACCTAATTCAGGGTGAAACTGAACCATAAATTTAGCTAAAGTCTCACACTCATCTGAAAAAGGGCAACTCTACGTTTAAAATAAATGATTATGTTTTGAATGAAAGTTTGTTCCAGTCATCAGTTGTGTCATACTTATAAGGCACTTACAAAGTTGTATTTGAACTTGTTTGTCCACCTCACTTGTTTCCAAAGATGCTGCAGGTCATCAAGTTCAAGTTTTCATTTGCTAATTCTGACTGCGCTGTTCTCAGGCTGCAGGGAAAGGATGATTGCTCTGGAACAGTTGGGTTTGTGGAGGTGTGGTCATTCAGTGCACCACCACTCCCGAGTCTATCCTTCTGAAGGTCTTTTGCATTTAAACAAACGTTCTGGTTTGTGTTTCTTGTGGGAAAAACGTCCATTTCGAGGAATAACCTCTACGTGTGTTTGCAGCACAAGTCATGGAAAAAGATAAAGACCATGGTCCAGTGGTCGCACTGCATCATGTCCTTCAAGAAGAAATATCCCTGGATTCAGCTGGCGGGACACGCAGGTATGTGAAAACACGGTGCAACGCGTGCTTGTATGTGATAAAAACAAGAGAGAGTTTCCTCACAGAACATTTAAAGCTGACAAGTTCCAGATAGCAACATACAGGTTCATCTCTGTAGTGCAACGTCTTTCACTAGTGTTAACAGTTTCAGTAGAAAAATTTGTGATAATTGGATTTATCCATTGGTCCCTTAAAGGAAATCGAATTTTCTGAGCGTTACCAACAGCTCACAATAATTTGAATCAGAAAAATCCAACATTTTTGCTACTATTTCTGCACACCAGTGAAACTCTCTTCATTACCTTCTGGGCAGTCCTGATATCCAAATACGATTTGAGCTTTCCCTCTTTCGCATCAAGTCGACAGTCCTCATTAGAATACATTAAAAATAGGATTCAGACAGATTTTCTAGGTGTCTTCCAGATTACCAAGACACATCAAGCCACATCTCTGGAATCGCTCATGATACCAGACTGATCTATAAGTATCAAAACATAGCTTAAAAAGCAAGAAATGGTTTGACTAAATGCAACTTAATCCCTAATTTGATGTGATGGGTCACATTTCCGTCCATGCTCTAACACATCTGATATGAGTCTAGTTTTGGATTTGGAGCTTTAAGGCTTCGGTCCTCTTTGGAAGTATGTAAGGGAATGTGGATTAAAAACCTTCAGCAGCTCCCTCACAGGGATAGTTCAGCTTTTTTGAAGTGGTTGTTTGGAAAGATTGTGAACTTTTAATATCTTACCTGTTGCAGATATTACTTTGATTKAGCTCAGTTTGGGGAAATAGTTTATTTCTAAGCTAGCTAGCTGCRCAGAGTCAAGGCCACAGTGGATYGCTGCCATTTTAAAACAGCTAGAATCTTTAAACAGTTCAAGACAATATTTTTTGGAAGCCTTTACACCACCGGTGATTTCATTACACAGTCATTTACATGAAAATGCATGATTTTCTTTTGTAATCTCCAACAGCAGCAGTAGCAGTAGGCTGYAGCATATTTCATTTGGAAATAGCATTTGTGTGGAACACAATAAAATGTTTGAGAAAGCAGTTCATATGGGATGGGATGGATTTGCTTTAAAACAAGCCCCTTTTTAGACTAGCCATTTGCTTGTTAATCCATTCAAAATTAAACTGGTGTTCAAAGAAATATCTGCAACAGGTAAGATATTRACTGACCATAATCTTTCCACTGAGCATAAGAAAATATTTTTTTATCCTTTATTTATACAGGAAAACCTCTTGAGACTCATTGTCTCATTTACAAGAGAGACCTGTTACATCCACCACAACAAAGTAACATAAAAACAATAATAATACAATTTACTTAACACTTCTAAAAATCAATACCATACATCATCAAAGAAAGGGTTTTCATTGACAACAAGTACAGGTGCTTAYGGACAAATTTTCAAATCTGTTTATTAAAATCTTAAACTCCCCAAGTGTGACCARAYTGGAGAGCTTCAKGTCCTGCTRAAGCTTGTTCCAGGTGGAGGGGCCAGAAAAGGAGAAAGTTTTTTTTTTTGGAACGCTGAACGTAATAAAGTCTGAGAATGAAGACTGTGGTGGTGTTTTTTGCATGAAATATAACATGATAAGTACGATGGAACCAGTTGAAGGATGGATTTATACATTAAAGTGTACCAGTGTAAGACTCTGTGAGTATGTAGAGAGGRCCATTTGACTAAAGAATAAAAGGTACAACGGTGAGTGAGGGCTTCTCTGTGATAAATCTAAGTGCTCCATGATAGACAGCGTCCACCAGACGTAATGAGCTGGCAGAAGCTTTCATATACACAATATCCCCATAGTCTAAAATACTCATAAAAGTGGCAGAAACAAGATCTTTTCTAGCGTTTTTTTTGAGGAACGCTTGTTTCGAAAAAAGAAGCCTAGTTTTAACTTAAGTTTTTTAAACAGGTTTTCAATGTGGGGCTTAAAGGTTAAGTTTTCATCCAAGGTGATGCCAAGATATTTGTAAGATGTTACAAAGTGTATGGGCACGCCCTGTGTGGTAGTGATAGCAGGGAGAAATGCAGGCACCTTCTTCTTGTTAGAAAATAACATGCCCTTAGTCTTGCCTGCATTCAATAACAGTCTAAGTTGTAATAGTTGAGACTGAAAACTGTCGAAAGAGTGCTCAAAAAAAGGGCAACTGATTTTGCRYGACAATAAATTACTGAATCATCAGCATAAACATGCACAGCTGCACTTCGTAAGACCATGGCCCAAATTGTTAATGTAGATGGTAAACAGTATAGGTCCTATAATGGACCCTTGTGGAACCCCTCTAGAAACGTCCATAAAACTTGAGGTTTGACAGCCGTATTGAACACACTGTTTACGGCCAGTCAGGTRATTTAGAAACCAACCCAYGGCCTGTTCAGTAAACYCTATGTCCAAAASCCTGAACTAAAGCTTTAAGGTTTAGCAACATTTTTGAACTGTTAGCTCGTGCAAAATGATGTAAATTAAGCTCCAAATCCTATCTCACAGTAAAAAAAAAGTGTTTTTATTATTTATTTGTTTTWTCCCACAGGGAGTTTCAAGGCGGGAGCGAACGGCCGTATATTAAAAGTAAGTCACTCCCTTCCTTACAGCAAACGCTCAGAAACGTTTGGATTGTTCTGGACGTACAGTTTTTAACGTGTTTTTGTCGTTGATGCTGTCTTTCAGAAACACTGTGAATGCGAGCAGCGCTGCTTGTCCCTGCTGATGAACGACGTGCTTCGCCCGTACGTCCCCGGTTACCATGGAGACATCGAGAAAGACGGCCAGAAGTACAACCAGATGGAGGATCTGCTGGCTGAGTTCGACTCCCCGTGTGTGATGGACTGTAAGATGGGAGTGAGGTGAGGGACCACGTCACGTGAAACTACATTTGTGCTTCAACATGCTGGTCTTACTGGTCTCTAAAAGTATTTGTACCGTTTCATCTGATGGGTTTATACTCGTTTTATTTAGAGAAGTTTAACCTGTAGGTCAGATTTTTGGGCTTCWAGGCACTTTTGTTTTGAATCTTTTTAATTGTCTCCTCTTGGCTGAACAAACTCGTTTTTGAACGACACATTCTTGGAATGCGTTGCAACAGAAAGAAACGTCGTCAAAACGAAACCCAGGTGGTCAATTTCTTAGCGTTCGGTACCAAATATCTGAATATTCAGCACCCTCTTTCTCCTCTCGTTAACCCTTTGTGTTCCCTCTCCATTCCTCCTACTCAGTGTTGTATAAAGTACCACAAATCGATACTTGAGTAAAAGTACAAGCATCTTACCAAAAAATTACTTCGGTAAAAGTTAAAGTCTCCTTTAGGAATATTACTTGAGTAAAMGTCTTAAAGTTTCTGGTATTTTTTGTACTTAAGTATTAAAAGTAAAAGTATTGAATTAAAATGAGCAGTTAGATTTTCTGTAATGACATTTATTAGGAGGTGACCTCCCAAAAAATGCAAATGACTGTTGTATTAAAATAATTAATTTACGTTAAATTTAGGATGCACTAGTCTGTTTCAGTTTATCTACATATGTTAAGGCTGCCCAAACCTTTTCCCCAAATTGAAAATCTATCTTAGGGCTGCGGCCAAATGTAATAATATAATTCATGAAAAACAAATACTTCTTAAGTACTGTACTTTTATTTTAATGATTATGTCCTGCTGGAGTGTGACATGATTTGTTTGTGTACAAACTAATACGGTATCAGAGTTTTATATATTTATACTTCTCATTCAACCACAATCAAATTCACTCTATCTAGGAGGCACAATTTATTTGGATAGTATTTATTTTTTACAATAACAAGCTGGAATGAAAATAAGCAAAAATGAAATAAAAGTAACGACTTTYTACTTCTTGCCTTTTTTAAAAATGTRARRAGTAGAAAGTACAGAAAACTGTGTGAAAATGTAAAAAGTAGGCTGAAAAATTATCAAGCAAAGTACAGATACCCAAAAATTATACTTGAGTACAGTAACAAAGTATTTGTACGTAGTTACGTTACAACTCTGCTCCTGCTCATGGTGTCTCGACGCCTACGCTGTTTCCTCGGCTTCGCGGCCCACCGACTATGTTCCTCCGCTTGTTTCAGGACCTACTTGGAGGAAGAACTGACCAAGGCTCGGAAGAAGCCCTCCCCGAGACCCGACATGTACCAGAAAATGGTGGAGGTGGACCCGGGCGCACCCACGACAGAGGAGAACGACAAGAAGGCGGTGACCAAGCCGAGATACATGCAGTGGAGGGAGACCATAAGCTCCACAGCCACTCTGGGGTTTAGGATAGAGGGAGTCAAGGTAGGACTCACAAAAAGACAAAAGGTGTGTGTGTTTAGGCCTTCCTTCCCTCCTCTGCTCTGTGATTCTTTCAGGGGTATGATCTAACTTCCTGTKTTTTTCCCAGAAACTTCCTCTGAAGTGTTTGTGTGCACTTTTGTCGTACGTGAGTGCTGTCAGTAGCAGCTGTTCAGTCTTCAGCATACGGTGCTGACGTTGTGTCCACACTCCTAAATCTCTTTGTCTCTATGAGTCTTGGCTATATAAGGGCATTCATGGCCTCCCGGTGGTCCGTTGCCACGACACGGAGGGCTATCCCAAGAAACGKGTRTGTGTGTTTGTGTGTGTTGTGACGTGTCAGCTGTGATTTTTTTTTATACGTGTGGAAAATGCGGGGTGATTTACACGCCGGCTGCCCCTCGGGTCAAAACGAGCGGAGCGGCAGGAGGGTTAAGTGTGATGTGTGTGCGACAGGGAAGGTCAAAGACTCCTCAGGCTTCAACCAAAAAGGGAAAAAAAAGTAGATTTGCCTCCAAATATTACCTTGTTGCCTGGCAGCAAGCAGGATAAAATAAGCTCATTTTCCACACTGCATCACCTGACTGGCAGACATCACTGGTCCTGCTTCTCTGAAAACCTTCTGTTGCCTCTTCATGAGCTACAGAGGCTTTTTGCTTTATTYGTGAAGCTACTTAGCTCTGATCTGTGAAACATTCAAGCATAAAAAGTCACAAGCATCTTGTCACAAAGACACAATTTTTTCCTGTTTCATTTAATAAATCTAATTTTAAAAAAACAAAGATAATGTTTGACACGTTAAACGGCATTTTGGCACCCGCAAGGTGATTTCCAAAGAGTTCGTCAAGTCTTTCCTGGATTTTCTTCCATGACTTTCTGTTATGAATAGCTTTTTTAAGCTCAGCATTTCTTTTTATCCTCCCCTTTTTTCCTGATAGTAAATATGCTGGAATAGCAGCCAAAATCCAAAGGAAAACCGCTGAAAGATCTTCGCAGCTCCGAGCTCAAGACAGACTGACTCCTTGGAAGCTAAATAACAAGAAATCAGGAGCCCATTAAAACTTTTGCACAACACTCTAGCTGTATTTGTGGCAACTGCAACATCCTCCCAATACAAACAATTTTCCTTCCTCATTTCTAGTTTTAGAAGGGAAGTTACTATTTAGTTAAGATGTTTTATTACTAATTGTTTCCTTTTTGAGAGACATTTCTTTTTGTTCTTCAGTTTGTCACAAGAAAATAATTAAAATCTGCAGACGACAGGCTGATCTAGGCGAAAGACTTGAAAGAACTTTTAAGAATGGTCGATGGATTAAACAGAAAAGCTGCACAGTTCACTCCTCAAATGGAAAATTTGTTTTTTTAAGTTTGTTTATATTTAGGTTTGTTATCTCAGAGTCAAAGACCCTTCCCTTCTTTAGAGCTAAATTTCTAAAAATATCTCTCCTTTTCCCTTCCTCACATTGTCTTCCTTTTCTTGTCCATCCTCTCCTCCTCCACAACAGTCCCCCCACTCAACTCCTAACTGACTTCTGAAGATTGTGGGAAATTGTCCAGAAAATGAAATTTAAAAAATCGTTCCGAACTCTGAGTGTCATGTCATAAAAGTATTTTAAATAAACGAATGAAAAGTGATTTCTCATGCTCGTCCTCTCTGCTGCAGAAAGAAGACGGGACGGTGAACAGAGATTTTAAGAAAACAAAGACAAGAGAACAAGTCGTCACAGCGTTTAAAGATTTTGTGAAAGGAAACAAAGACATACTGGTGAGTGTGTTTGTGCTTTAAAAATCATCAACAACGCAGAACTTTACACTCAATTTAAACATCGTGAAGAACACTTATTTTTAGTTTCTGTAATGGAAAACAAAAGAAGCTTGTTTCAGAGCCAGAAAATAAATTAAGTGATAGAAGATAATACCTGTTGATTTATTTAAATTTCTGTTGTTTTTTACAGAACCAGTATCTAACAAGGCTAAAAGAAATCCGAGTCACTTTGGAGACCTCCTCCTTCTTCAAATCCCACGAGGTAAAAATCCACATTCAAACATTTACTTAATATGTTAATTAAATCTGTTCACTATATAGATATTATTTCCTGTCAACATATGCATGTAAAACCTTTGTTGACTCTTTGTATTTTTGAAAAGCACAAGAGGTACGTTTTTTTTTTTTTTTTTTTTTACTTTTTATCACATCAATTGGTAAAAATGTCTTCCCTGATGGAACAAGATTGTTTTCATTGTCAGGTTATCTTAAAAGGATCGACGATTAGTTGTAACGTTAGACTTTATTTGATAAACATATATTTTAACTGTAAAATAAAGACTGTAAAAATACTGTAGGATGTTTAGTTTTGTAAATTTTTAAAACTAAAAGTTTAAAAATATATTACACGGACGGGGCCATTTTATTTACACACAAAGCATTCTGGGTAAATAATGACGTGGATAGGTCCTCGGTGCGAGGCTGCTAGCGAGCTATATCCACCCTGAAGGTTAATCTTGGACAATATCTGACGATCGACTCTTTTAAATGAAACCAGAGAGCGTTGACAGAGAGGAGAAGGTAGAAATGACTCAGCCTGTAACTGAAAATATGGATGGAGGACAACAGAGCTGCTTCATGGAAGAAGAACCTCAGCTTAGCCTGTTAGCTTTAGCTTTAGCGTTAGCCCCGATGCTATCACCATATATATGTTTTAGCTCAGTGCTACACATTCTCCTCTCGTCACTGAGGTCCTCCATCCACATGACAGAGAGGGGAACACAAAAATGACTCAGCTGCAACTGAAAATATGGATGGAGGACCTCAGTTTAGCTTGTCGCACTAGCGCCGAGCTAATACATACAAGACAATATAGCGTTGGTGCTAGTGCGAAGGCTAACAGGCTAAGCTGAGGTTCTTCTTCCATGAAGCAGCTCTGTTGTCCTCCATCCATATTTTCAGTTACAGGCTGAGTCATTTCTACCTTCTCCTCTCTGTCAACGCTCTCTGGTTTCATTTAAAAGAGTCGATCATCAGATATTGTCCAAGATTAACCTTCAGGGTGGATATAGCTCGCTCACACCGAGGACCTATCCACGTCATCATTTACCCAGAATGCTTTGTGTGTAAATAAAATGTCTCTGTTCATGTTAAAATATATTTTTAAAAATTATTAAAACTGAACATCCTACAGTATTTTTACTGTCTTTATTTTATTTTACAGTTAAAATATATGTTTATCAAATAAAGTCTGTTACAGCTAATCCTGGATCCCTTTAACATAAATGTCCACTCATTTTTTGTTGCATTGCTGAGTTAAATAATTCTTGAATTACTCACAAGGCATAAAGCTTAAACTTAGAATTAACCGTTTTACATTTGTAGTAGCTCCAGTTGTTATTGTTTGTTGTAAACAAACTGAATCATTCATAGAGAGAACAAGTCTCATCACAGAAATTTGACTTTTTACGACACACAACACACACACACACGGAGTCAAACAGGCACAGTCGGTTCGTGACGACATCCCAAAACAAGAAGTGAGATAAYGTTCAGCAGCGCCGCGAGCAGGCGTGAGTTCTGTTTCCTGTTTTCTGGGCTCATCCTGCCTCTGTGCTTCCATCTGCAGGTGATCGGCAGCTCCCTGTTGTTTGTCCACGATGGAAAAGGCAGAGCCAAAGTCTGGATGATCGACTTTGGGAAAACCACGCCTCTCCCCGACGGAGAGGAGCTAACCCACCGAGCGTCGTGGAAAGAGGGGAACAGAGAGGACGGCTACCTGTTTGGACTTGACAGTTTGGTGGACATCATTTCCTCCATGGTGAACTCTGACACTTGAAGGCTGAGGGCATATACAGTATATATATATTTAATCCAAGTGAACTTCATGCTTCCTGGAGGACCCCCTTCACTGACACTTAGGTGAAACTACGTCCTCCTGGCCCTCCCAGTTCCTCCCAGTTCCTCCCAAGTAATAATAACAATGGCTCAGTTCCTCATACATTTTCTGAACACAAGATTTAATGTTATGAAAATGTAGCAAAGGTCAATAATTAAAACCCCTGCAGACTAAATTTGACAAAATATTTAAAGCAAACGGCACCTAATCCAAATTAAAAGCAGTTAAATGTTGATGACATTAAATTGTATTGTAAATAAATTCTATGAAAGGTCCAACCAGGTATTACTGGTCTTATCATATTTTAGACAGGCTCAACTCTTATTGTTATTAACATGAATTTGTCTGTTTTTTAGTTAAAATGCCATGCACAGTTTGCACCTTTGTGAGAATTAAGGACAATCAGGAATGTAACTATACGACTTTTGTACTAAAGTAAACATACGAGCCTAATAATCAGTATCAGACTCTGTCCTTTAAAGCAGCTCATCTTTGGTTTCTTTCCTAGAATTTGTTTCTTCAAATAAACAAACTATTTTTTTTTTGTCATGGGAAATTTTTAGAAAAATGTGAGATTTCAGCACTTCCTGGAAGCACTTTGAAAATATTTTTAAAACCAGCACTTACTGTACATTATCCTTTTATTAATTTTTTTTTAACAAGATGACATATTCTCTACATTTGATGCTCTAAAGTTACACACCCACATTGACGACCTGGTAAATTAGCAAACCACTGCCCTCCCCAACCCAAAGCATGTTCTCAACGAAAAGGGTCTGCATAAATAACAGTTTACAAAAATCACCCAGTTTGTGATACTAAAATTAGAAAGTTAATTTTACATGTGGCTAAATGACTCACTTTGTTTGGCCTGAGCTGTTGTTTTCATTTATTTATTTATATTGAAAATCTTTTGCTCTGATCGGCTCATTCTTATTAATCAAACCACAGAAAGTAAAAGTACAGATAGTCCAGTTTGTTCTCTTCCTCCTCAACAATCTGGCTATAATTAAAGGAAAAACTCTCCCAGCTGTTGCATTATGATTTTTTTTTTTTTTTTTTTTTGAGACAAAGCATGATGCCAAACCTTTCTGTTAGGTCACACAGACAGCTCACAGTGTACAGTGTATATTTTACTGTAATATATTTGTAGTCAAAACAGGTGGAACACTTACAGCCTTGAACAATCTTATTTAAGCTAAACTGTGCCTTTACATTGCAAAGCCAAGTAAGAAAACTAAAAAAAAAAATGTTTTTTTTTTCTCCTATTATGTATGTAGTTCTAACATGATGGGTGCATGTTTATTATTCTTTGAAATGTTTCATTCCTGGTTTGTAATTTACTCTGCTTTTATTTAAGCCGTGTTGTATTTAGTTTTAGTTCTGGAGGCTTTGAAATGTAGTTTTTATTTAGTTTTTCTTAGGCGAGGGTTATTGTATTGTTTTGTGTTGCAGTAGGAGTGACATTCAAACAGTAGGTTGAACAAGGAGATTAATATTTTTTTTAAATTACTCATATTTGCCTCGTATTTAAATGGAAACGCAAGCGTTTTTTGTTTGTTTTTTACCGGCAGGTGGGGCGTAAAAAACGTTTTGTATCGTAACCGCGGGCTTGATGTCTTCGGTAAAAGTTTGCTGGTGACGAGAAGAGTGGGACCTCAACTCTTTGAGTGTTGAATCAAAGTAAAAGGCATTTATTTGCTTCGTCGTGGAAGTGTATTTGAGAAAAAACCTCCACTGCTGTGTCTGTACTTTAAATTGGAAGCATCTAAAAGTGAAAATTTTGAACAATTTCTTTATGACCAACAACTTTACCTGATGCCTGTTCTCCTCTGTGTGATGTTTGAAGTAGGTGTCTGGTTTGTGTATTTATTCTTTGAATTGTTCCTTTAAAAAATACAGATTTGGTAAAACACTTGTGTCTGTGTTTATTTTGTTTTAACGACCGACCGACCGACAAACAAACAACATGGCTGCTGCTCTTTGCCCACATTAATTGTTTGCATGAAGGTTATTTGTCATTCAAATCACAACTGTCCACAACAGCAGCAGCATCCGGAGCTGCCAGAAAAGAAAAGATTTGATTCCTGATACATTTTCGACTCAAGTTGTAAAAATGTGGCCAAAAAAAAAAAAGAAGCTTTATTAGACTTTTTTTTGCACCAACATCAAACTTTAAAATGTTTTTTTCACACTTAGGTTCTGCATCTTTTTTGAAAATATGCTTGTATGTTATGCACTTATAATGCATTTACATAACATCAAAATAGCATCTTAGGTTTTACTCACACGTTGTTGTTGTTGTTGTTGTTGTTGTTGTTGTTGTTGTTGTTACTTGTTGAACCTGACTGTAAATGATATTTTTTATTGGCTTTATAGGTATATTTTGTTGTATTCTCATTATTTTGTAACATAGATTTCATTTTGTTTTGGAGCAAAGTTTGTTACGTAACAGCTTCTTTGGATCATTCGCACCCTCTGCTGGAGGTTTACTGGTACTGACCAACTTTACTTTTAATAATGAGGCAAATATATTTCATAGCACAGGCATTGTCAGAACATTTTACCTGGGCGTGGACCCCAGTATTATGGAAGCCCATTTTCGCCACCCTGATAAAAAAATAAAACTTGTATCCCATAATTATGACTTAGCTATCTCATAATTATGACTTAGCTATCTCATTATATGAGATACTATCTCATTATTATGAGATACTATCTCATAATTATGAGATAGCTAAGTCATAATTATGAGATACAAGTTTTATTTATTTTTTATCAGGGTGGCGGAAATGTGCTTCCATACTTCTTGATGCCTCCGCTCACCCTGACCTGAGCCCCTCCCACCTCCTGGACTCGCACCTTTTCTCCCCCCACAGAGGGGGGCGTGTCGACGGC